TCACTGTTCCTAGATATTTTGTAAATAACACTACAGCTGTCTTCTCTTAAATATTTTAGCATCATGTATAACAAGGTTTCCCTTTATTTCATGCTTGGAAGATCAATAATCAAATATTAACACTCAAGTGTAACATGAGGCTTGGTCTATAGAAATTAATTTTTCCTCCTGGCTGGCTGTTGATATGAAAATATTTATTTCACCTTTGCTCATTCCTTCTTAATATATTTTAAATATTTAAACTCTCTTCTCTTATTCAGATTTATGTATTTCCTTTAAGATGTAAATTAATAAACTGACCCATCAGTAGCTGTGTGCTGGCAGCATGCTAAAGAATATCACAGATTATTTACTGACACACCTCTGAGAACCGCAGGAAGAGAGACCAAACCCAGATTGCTCCAACAAAAAAAGTTTTCTATTTTCTGAACCTCACCCCAAAATAATTGCAGGCTCTTCTCAAACGTCCTTCTGCAATGTCCTACAGCTCCACCACACAGAGCAGGGTATTGACAAGGCAATCACACCTAAGGGGAGCATTTATCTAAGCTCTGAAACCCTCAGAACTAACACATGCTCTGGAAATTTGATTTTCTCCATAACAGTAGTACAGGTGGATTGACAGAACCAACTGTGTGTTAATAAAGCAGATGGACCTTCAAATATCCAGCACACAAAAACCAGCCTGTGGCCATGTCCTGCAGATAAAACCCCTCAGAGTGTTATTTCCAAGCTGGGAGTGGGATATAAATTCTCAAATAGAGGTCTAAAGATGTCATATGTGAATAATCTATGAAGGACTAACTCAGCCCTCCTGACAATAACAGATTCAAAGGCAGAAATATCCTCAAAATCACATTGGAGGCTTTCAGGAAAGAGTTGAGGAGTAAAGATTGAGAACACTTGCATTCTTCCTTCCTCTTGTGAATGTATTATAGATGAATGTCAGCCTCCAGCAAATCAATCATAGCACCATTCACATGGTTTAGATTGATATAAGAACACCTAAAAGTTATTTTTAAAGGGCAATGTAGAGTCAAGCTCTGCAGGTTATACCATGAAAAATAAAGGCAAAAATGAAACGCCTGTGCCACAAGGGAGAATATTTCTGCTTGCTGAGGCTTCACCTTTCTTTTGGCAATAGGACAAAATAGATCAAAGAATATCTAAGTTTATATTAATCCTATTAGGTTGCATGGAAGAGTTCTCATTGTTATCTATAGATCATTAACAATGCCGAGTTCATGATCGTTACTTTTATAAACAGCCACATTGAAATTATTTATCATGAGCACTGGGGAACATCAGAAGTGTCTTAATGCTGAAAGTGACTTTGGATTTGGTGTAGCTCCATTTCAGATGAATGAAAATACAATTAATCTTATTTTAAAGATCCTTCTGTATTATTCTGAAGATGCTCTTGCAGCCCATGCTCCGTCTCTGTGCTACAGCAGAATGAAATAACTCAAGACCAGGTACAGATATTGCCTTGCAGTCACACCCCTACATGCTCTCCAACTTACCATCGCCTGAACAAGAGGAAATATTAGAATATTCACTGTATATTAATTGTTTTTCATCTTCCTGTCACCCTGATTCTTTAAGATTTTCTAAGCCTTCTCATGTTGACATTCTTGTAGTGAACTTTCTCGCACACTTTCTGTAAATAACTCATTGTTTTGCATTCTTTTATGGAGGAGGAGAAATGTGATGGACTGTTGGTCTGTCCAGTGTCATTGGAGAGGTGGCACTGTCACCCTCCAATCCACTGTCACTTTTGGAAATCTATAAATGTTGGAGTCAGAAAATAAACTTCTCTTTTTTCTTCACCTTGAGAACAGCGGTGTGAGCTTGTGTTCTTTCATGTCCTATAGTGATATCTTCCCAATTCGGAAGGACCATAATTAAAACTGGAGAACTGCAGAACAAAATCAAAATTCCTTTTTTCTGTCAGGTTGATGGGATAAGGGGTTGACCTATTCCTTTCCAGAGAAAGCTCTGAATAGCAGATCTTTACAGGAAGGTGTGAGGGAAATGCACTTCAGACTCCTCCCAGGAGCTGCTCAGCCCCATCTGAGGCAGGCTGGGAGATGAAGGATCCAGGATCCATGGTCACATCCACCAGGAGAAGGCTTCCCAGCAGGATTTCCACTGGGCAGGACGCTCTGCACCATCTCACTGCTGGGCAGGGAGGTTGCTCAGCCCTTTGTCTCAAACCTGGGCTTGCCTTAAGCAACTGGGCAGAGCATGGCATTCCACCAAGAGGGGACTCATGAGGGAAATAAACCCCACACAACCAAAAGGTAGAACACCTAACCAAAAAACAGCAAAGAGTATTTCATCTCACCTGAATGAATACAACACATTGAGGAGGAAAAACCACCTTGTTCTTGTGTATTGTGGGTGCCAAAAGCACTTCACAATGGGTTACTCATGTTATTTCCCTCTGAGGGAATGGGATCCATTTCTGGAAATGGTATTTTGAGAGAATTTCACAAATGGGGCAATGTGCAGAACAGACTGAAAGAAAAGGGAAGAGGATAGGCAAATTGAAGTTTGAAATAACTGGATTTATTAAGGTTAGTCTAAGAACAGTCTGAATGGTTCTATAGGGGAAGAATTGTGAGCTTGTCAGAGTTAATAAAAAGCTAAAATTCTCCCCAAGACTCCCTCCCCATTACTCCTCCTGTCCTTCTGCTTTTCATACACACATCTGTAAGTCAATGAAATGGACTCATTATAGGAAATAATTTTATCACTTAGATGTGGCGTGTAAATATTGCACTTTCTGCAAACATGTGTAATAGGCTACAATGCAATTAAAGAAACCAGAGTGAAAATTTATAAAAAATCTCTACCAATTTTATGTACAGATGCATTTGCTGGAAAAGGCATTATTCACTGAATGCAGTTAAAGTGCAGTAAATCGACTTTGAGAGAAATCACAAGACTTTTCAATAAAAAGACAAAATAGCAACACTGCTAAGACAGCAGGTGGTAAAACGAGATACAGGAATGTTCCCCCATATAAAGAAATAAAACAAAACAAAGCTGTGTGATTTTACTGCTCTTTTCCAGCAGAAAAAAAACATCCCTAAAGGACTCAGAAAATAGGCTCCTAAATTTGCTCATATGGAGTACCAGAGATTGAAAGGCAAACTTTGAAATACATTACTCAGAAAAATCAGAGAAGGGATGGTGCTTAAAGAATTTTTTTTTTGAGCTTGTCAATGCAATTTGGGGCCAAGCCACAACACAGCTGGGGGACCATCAGTGATATAGGATATTTAATTAAATCCAGTAGTTTGCATCTGGAGCAATTTGCTTCTGAATACTTAGTGGGCATCCTTCAAAAGCATTAAGAACCTGTCAGTGAGATACAGAAACCCAAAATGAAAGAAACCCATTATGAAAGGGGGGACTATGGTGTTTTTAAAATAACACCCATGGGAAAAACTTCTCTTGTGAAAATTGGAAGTAAAAGCTTCAAGATCCCACAGGGAGGTAATGAATACCTGCTGGACCCCTCTGCAAGGCAGGGGGTTTTTCTAAGTGATTCCAATTGCTGCTGTCAGCAGAGGAGCCTGGCAGGATGAGTGGCAGCAACAGGTAAGGCAGTGTGGGCTCAGAAGGGAAATCTGTGCATCTGTGCTGGTGCCTTGCACCAAACACAAATTCACTGAGATGGAAGAGAGTGATGAGTACAGAACTCAAATCAGGGAGTGACCTGCAGGTGAGTGTCCCACATCAGCATGTCACCATGGAGAGCATATCACCGTCAGCATGTCACCACTGAGAGCAGGACCCAGCTCAGACAGGCAGCAAGGTTCCCTGCAAGGTGCCCACTCTATGCCATGGGTGCCTGGGCAGCTCCCTGCCCCTAAATGACCAGGGAAGGGATGGCACCCCTGTACCTGGCACTGGTGAGGTCACACCTTGAGTCCTGGGCCCAGTTCTGGGCTCCTCAATGCAAGAAAAACCTTGAGGGGTTGGAGCATGTCCAGAGAAGGGAATGGAGCTGAGCAAGGGGCTGGAGACTCAGTCATGTGAGGAGCAGCTGGAATTGTTTAACGTGGAGAAGAGGAGGTTCAGGGGGAACCTTCTCATTCTCCACAACTCTCTGACAGGAGGGTGCAGCCAGGTGGGGTCAGGCTCTGCTCCCACAAGGGACAGGACAAGAGAAAACAGCCTCAAGCTGTGCCAGGGGAGGTTCAGGTTGGACATCAGGAGGAATTTCTTCACAGAAAGGGCGGTCAGGCATTGAAGGGGCTGCCCACAGAGGTGGTGGAGTCACCATCCCTGGAGGTGTTCAGGAAATGACTGCAGATGGCACTCAGCGCTCTGGGCTGGTTGGTAAGGTGGTGAGTGGTGAAAGGTTGGACTCGATGGTCTTGGAGGTCTTTTCCAACCTTAACGATTCTGTGATCTGTAAATCCTCTACTCTGCAGCAGGATCTGCTTGTCTGTGCTAGCAAAGCCTCACTAAATCAAAACTCCTTTTTTCTGGACTTCACTGCACAGCCAGCCCAGCAGCACAGCTGGATTACGAATGTGAGAAGTGTGTTAAACCCAGAAACTGAGCAAATACCTCCACAAGCATTAAAGACAAGGCAGGCACTCCTAGAATCATTACCAGCAGGCCTTGTTCATCATGGAAGAGGGGGTAGGATGGAGAGCTGGGGCCTCCTCCACCCTCGTGTGGGGATGTTCAGTCTCCAGCTCCACATCCCGCTGTGCTGCAGCACTGCAAAGGCATCTGAAGTGATGCTGAGAGGGTAATAACCCCGACAGTGCCTGCAGCAATCCTTTCTGGAGGTTAACAGCGGGAGGCAAGGAGGCTGAAGCATTCATGAAAGCAGAGTGCGAAAAGCAGAATCAACAGCTAAGTTGGCCTTTTAGTCAGCGCCTGCTTTCGGCAGCTCCGCTATCAGAGGAGAATGAGAGAGGAGTGAGGGAGGAAGGAGAGGAGGGAAGCGTGAAGAGAAAAGACAAAACACCCACCTGACAGGTGCTCCCCGGGACTGAGCAGGTTTCAGCATGACAGTGATGGTGGTGTCAGTCTCGTTGAGGGGAGAGTCTGTGTCGTACTCCGGCATGGACGGAGCTGCAGCAGAACAAAGAACAACTTCATCAGGCACCAGCCCTTGGTAGGGATTGCAACTGAATGGTTTATATAAATGTTATATTAATATTTGCCAAATGAAATATCAAAATACTTCCCAGTGTTATGACCAGAATGATCAAAACTGCTTTAATATCTGTAAGAGCTGAAATGAGGGATGCGGGACTCCAGGGGCTCTCCAAAATGCAGTTTATGGTACACAAAATGCAGTATATTCCATCCAAGAGGTTTCAGCAGCCCAGGGTGGTGGGTGACAGAGTTGTGCCCACAGCTGTCAGCTCCAGCTGCAGGCAGGCCTGGAGACCCTTTGGTTTGGTTACAATGCATTATAGACTTTTCTTTGCTGATCATCTTAATACAGTAGAACCAATCTATACCTTAACTTTTATCTATAGCCTATCATAACTACTATAATTACCATATTCATGTTACTGCTCTCCAATCACTCAAAGTCAGTACATTACAGTTTAAGCTAGATGTTTTTCAGTTTTCTTGCAGTGGAAAGTTCTGAGACCTTTTTTCTACTTGCCACATTTGCTGACTTGTTTGCCTGTGCTATCTTTGCGCTTGGTAAAAACATCTTGTTTGAGGTGGGTTTATCCTTTGCTCTAAGTCATAAAAACCCCTTCTAATGAACAAGCCCTTAACCTCCTTGGTTATCCAGTAAGACTGGCTCAGCAATTCTTTTCCTCTATATCAAAACTTGCTTCCATCTCTATTCCTTCATCAGACTCTACATTCAAAAATCTTTCTGCTAAGCATAGATATCTGTGAGACTTTCTTGTCAAACTTTTATCCTTCCCAACAAATATTTGTACACTCTTTTTCCATTCCAATTAAATGGGAATTGGACAATCTTCAAGCTGGCTTTGAAAATCCCATTTTGAATTTTTAAGACTTAGTAAGGCCTTGAGGTGAGGAAAGGAAACTGCATAGACACTATAAAAGACCCCAAACTATTAGGATGAGTGAATCAGTGGCAGAGCTAAAAGTATCCCTGAATCCTGAATCTTTTTCCCTGCTCTGGTCAGTGGATTTGCCCTCTCACATCTTAAGAGATTTTAATGCACAGGCTTAAGCTGTGTCCCCTTGATTAGCTGGAGGGTGTGCTAGGTAACACAAAAGATGAAAAGAGAGGAGCACGAATTAGCCAGGTTATTTTTGCACTCAAACCCAGAACATTTTACCCCAGTGCTTAAGTGCTGCTGACTCAACCAGGCAGCTGCAGAGATCCCAGTACCACCCTGGGGCAGTGCCCAGCCAACCCCATCCCTGATGAGTTCCCCCCAGCAATACAGAAACCCACTGAATAAAAACCCACTCAGCCAAACTCTAGCTTCTCCTTCTGCTTAGTCATCTTCTCTTAGGACCATCCCATGAAAGTAGGACATCTTTCCTTAGGAAATATGTTTTACTTATTGCTTCTTTCCCCAGGAGCAGGCATCTGTTTGGGACAAGTTTTACTGCTGAAGACCTGAAGAGATCATGAGGTCAGAGCAGCACCAAATTTGTTCCAAAGATGCAGGTTTTGCTGAAATAACTTTAAAGTATAAAGCAAACAAAAGAATTCACACAGATTCATGCAAGTTCATCTGTAGCTCACAAGGGCAAGCTGCATTGTGGGGGATCCCATATTTAATCCTCTCTTAGTGATTTCCACTATAATCCTGTTTGCAATCAGGATTTTTATCTAAATGCCTGAAAACTGTCAAGAATGGGGGCTGCTATTATCAGCTCAGCTGCTGGCTTCCCTGACAATAAGCTGGGGATGCATTCAGAGTGAATATCAATTGCTTAAGAAGGATTTCTCTGGAATAAGGTGCTCTCCATCAAGGGGAAGCAGTGACTCCTTGAAAGGAGACACATCCCCAGTGGTCTTGCACACCAAAGGTCATTGGAGAGGCTGGAGATCACAGAATGGTTTGAGTTGGAAGGGATGTTAAAGATCATCCATCCCAACCTCTGCCATGGCAGGGACACCTTCCACTGTCACAGGTTCCTCCCAGCCCTGTCCAGCCTGGCCTTGGGCACTGCCAGGGATCCAGGGGCAGCCACAGCTGCTCTGGGCACCCTGTGCCAGGGCCTGCCCACCCTCACAGGGAAGGATTTCTTCCTAACATCCAACTTGCCCTCTGTCAGGTTAAAACCATTCCCTTGTCCTGTCACTCCAGGTCCTTGTCCAAGGTCTCTCTCCAGCCCTCCTGGAGCCCCTTTGGGTACTACTGTACAAAGCTGCGTTAAGGTCACCCCAGAGCCTCCTCCCCTCCAGGGGAGAACCCCCAGCTCTCCCAGCCTGGCTCAGAGCAGAGGGGCTCCAGCTCTCAGAGCATCTCTGTGGCCTCCTCTGTACTCAATCCAACATCTCCATGTCCTTCTGTTGAAGATTGCAATGCAAGATGTTTTCTATTACCATCTGTATGGCAGATTAGCTTTTATCAAGTGGACAGTCTGCCTTATCTCTCTCTTTGAGTGACCACAATCACACCTCCCTGGCGAGGGGACATTGCTGATAACAGCTACTGAATGTCACTGAATGGCTGATAAGAACTACAGCATCCCATTGGGAGATGTGAGCCCAGAGGGAGGAGCCAAGCATTCCTACCCAGATATAATCCAGAGGTTCTGGAACACCAGCACAGCTTCTGCACTGGATTCCCCAGCAGCTGCCTCTCCTCCCACTGGATCTTCAGAGGAAGAATCCATCCTTCTCTACAGGATCCCTGCTCCAACAGAACCACCCCTGACACTGCAGGAGGGCTGAGCCACAATTCCAATGGGACTGCTGCCAACACCCTGACCCACAGGGTGTCAGGCTGGGTTCTGACTCTGGCAGTGTTGTTCTAGTGCACTGCATTGTTTATTTTATCCTTTTATGGTTTTTTCCTTTCCCTATTAAAGAACTGTTATTTCCTGCTCCCATATTTTTGCCTGAGAGCCCCTTAATATAAAATTTATAGCAATTGGGAGGGGTGGGGAGGGTTTACATTCTCCATTTCAGAGGAGGCTCCTGCCTTCCTTAGCAGACTCCTGTCTTTCCAAACCAAGACACCTTCCTGTGCTGAGCACCCCAGAGCTGGATGCAGAGCTCCAGGTGAGGTCTCATGAGGGCAGAGGAGAGGAGGAAAGTCCCCTCCCTTGATCAGCAGGAATTGCTGAGCCCCTGCTCTGGCCAGAGGGGACGATGCCACAGCACGACTTAGTGCACCCATAGAAACAAATACACACACACTCCTACAGCATAGGTGGCTTTCCATGTGAGAAAAAAAAAAAAAACCAGCCTCACAAGGACATTCCTGTCGGGGCAAAAATTCTTTTTGTCTCTAATAACCTCAAGGCTGCTTCTCAGAGCAAATTTAATGGTAATTTTCAAATTATTTGGAAAATGTATCAGAAACTTGAGCATGCAATGAGAGAATCTAATGCCAGAGACTGAGCCAGATATCTGGAATATGGGGGGTAAAAAAGTCAATATACCAAGCTCAGTATGCATATAGTTGGCACTCATGCAGGCTGCTAACACAATTTGGGCACTTAGGGGATGATAAAATACAAAGAAACTGAAAAAGAGGAGAAAAGGCCCCCAAACCATTGCTGTGGTTTTTTATTTCTCTGGTCACAAGGGAATGGAGTGCATGCTGTGCTGTCCCTTCACAGCAGGGCTGCAGAACCCCCAACAGCCCATGGAGCTGTTTGGACACTTAATGGCTTTTACTTCAAGTCGTTCTGGGCTTGAGTGCTAAATGTGAAGGTTCAAACCCTGAGCAGAGGGAGGAGATGTGCTTTGCTTCCTTAAAATTTACCCTGTCACTTACTGCTCACAACTTGCTATTATTAACTGATTTTGAAATAGGGCAGTGGAAAATCTATACTGTAGTGCAATCTTTTCTACAATAACCAGCCATAATTCCAAGCATTACCAGTGTCCTGAATGTTCCAGATGTGTATTTTGACTTTACTGAAAAAAAACCTGTTAAAATAGTCCAAAAAATGACAGCTTTTCTCTGTTAGAAAACCTATTTTAAAAATCTATTTTAGTGCTATCAACTAAATGTTAAATTCCACATTTATCTGTCCAATATCACCACTACAGTCCATTTTTTTATAACTGCCTTGTTTCCCCTATTTTTGTTCACACCTTTTTGCCATTGCCTCCTTATTTTAGTGCCTTTCATATTCTTATGTGCCTCAAGCCCTCTCTCTGCTCTTACCCATTAAAAAACCCAAGGAAAAACAGCTTTCCTCCCTTATTTTTAGGGAGGAAATTATTAATTCCATTACTTCATTACATCCATTTTGGTACATCCTGAAAATAAAAACCACATTACAGAAGGAGTTCTCCCAGCCAGATAATGCTAACAATAATTACTATAAGGGCAGTTCATTTGTGCAGCTAATGATGGTTCTCATTTCAAATGCTCCACAGATATCCAGGGATACTTAGGACACCCACAAATTAACCCCTGTAATTGTAACCCAAATAAACAAAGATCTGTGGCTGTTTCAAAACTCTGCCCTATGAAACTTGGAGAGACATTAAGCTGAGTATTTTAATATATATTTATATTTTTAATATATAAATATGTATCTTTAATATATGTTTAATATCTACATATACTTAATATATTTATAATTTTATGCATCAGCTTTGAGTCTAAAACACAAAGCCCCAGTTTTTTGGGGTGTTTTTTCCTTCTTCTCCAAAGCAGTACCTGAAATCTTGGTTGCAATCCTGGTGGTGATGGGTGGCCCAAAGCCCTTGACTGTGCTGGCTTTGATGGTGAATGAGTAGGTGGTGCCTGGGTACAATCCCACAAAGAGGTGATGGGTTTCGTTGCGCAGCTTGAAGACTTTCCCTCTCTGGCTGGACAGGTCAGCACTGGGATCCAGAGACCCAACGGCCTTGTATGTGATCTGCAAATGAAGAACAAGGACAGGAGGTGATCAGGGGCCTTCTGTACCAGCCTCTCTTTGCTCCCCTGCTCTGGCACCTCTCAAGGCAGAACGCAAACACAAGGAATTATTTCAGGGTTATTTCTGTATCTCCCGTGAGCTGTTTTGTGTTTGGGTGCTGTCAAACCAACATGAGAATTTTTCCAAGGTTTTACTTAGGGAAAAACTAATTTCCTCTCTCAGTTAAACCACAGCACGTGCTGACTTACAACAAAAGATGTAAAGAGTTACTTTATGTTCCCAAGTGTCACTATAGGACATGAAACAACACAACGTGGACACACAGCTCTCTCAAGGCAAAAGAGAATTTTTAATTTCTGACCCAGCATTTATAGATTTCCAAAAGTGACAGTGGATTGGTGTCACAGACACATTTTATGAAAAATCCTTTCCTTAGGATTTTTTCTCCTGAGAAGCTGAGAGGCCTCAGGAATGAAATGCAAACATTGATTATCTGCTGCTGTGGAATGCAACAGGTGCATCTGTGATTGGTCTCATGTTGGATGTTTGTAATTAACAGCCAATCACAGTCCAGCTGTCTTGGACTCTCAGTCAGTCCCAAGATTTTATTATCATTCCATTCTCTCCTTTCCTTGCTAGCCTACTGATGAAATCCTTTATTCTATTCTTTTAGTATAGTTTTAATATAAAATATATATCATAAAATAGTAAATCAGCCTTCTGAAACATGGAGTCAGATCCTCATCTCTTCCCTCTTCTTAGGACCCCTGTGAACACCACCACAGATTGGAAAGTGACAGCGCCACCTTTCCAATGACATTGGACAAACCAACAGTCCATCAAATTTCTCCTCCTCCATGAAAGAATGCAAAACAATAAGTTATTTACATAAATTGTGTGAGAAAGTTCATTACAAGAATGTAAACATCAGAAGGCTTAGAAAAACTTAAAAAACCAGGGTGACATCCAAGCTCAGAACTTCTGTCCTCAAATCAAAGCACACAGCACAGCCAGCAGGATTTTCATATGAGAATCACCCATGCAAGCCCCACAGCTCATGAAAACACTCAGTGCAAACATGGATACATTTCCTTTTGCAAATCAACTCCTCAAAAGGCAGCTGAAAACAGTGGAAGACTTTTACTGGCAGCAAAAGCTTTGGAGGCCTTTTCTTACAGAGAATATGCTGAACTGAAATAATATGTTTAAATGAAATAAATATCACAATATCTTTAGACAAAAGCTCTTCTCTCTGTGGAAACCAGCTTCTGCTGTCCTTTCCCTGCCCTCATTCTGAGCCTCAGAGTGCAGATTTACACATGGTGTAGTCTGGTTTACACCTGGTTGAAGCCAGGAGGGCTTCAGACCTGGAGGTGTAGCAATGTCCCCCCGTTAACAGAGTGACAAAACTGTCCTTTGTCTCCTAAAAAAGGAAAAAAGCCCAGAAGTTTCTCTGCTTGATTAGGTAAAAATACATCTCATAGGATTTGGGGGGAATTCACCTCAAACTTAAGGATAGCCAATTGGACAGGAGCCAAAAAGTCCCACCTGAGCAATTCACTAGAAAAAGAAGAGAAAAAAGAAACTAATGGCTTTTGTGGGGTGTTTTACCAGGGGCAAGAACCTCTTGCACCTGGCTTGGTTTTACTCTCTAAAGAGTTTTGTTATTTTGCCTTTCAATAAAACTTTTTTGTTTCCAACACTGCCACAAAAGCCATCCTTCTAATTTTATGTTTTCTAAGGTAGCTGAGCTATCTTGGGTGTGAAATAGACCTCCAAGAGCTGATGAGACCTGGCTGGAGGAGACCATATACCATGGAGGGATGTCCTGAGTACATCTGGAGTGGTGCCAGCACACCTTGAAACCTGCCTGAGCTCAGCACGCTCACCCATGGCAACCCTCCTGATGTACAGACACTTCAAGGGAAACTCATGACTTATTTACCAGCCAATTCCTTGCCTGAGCTCCAAATTCAATCCCAAGGCAGCTCAATTTCAGCAGAGCTGTCAATATAATGTACCGTGCTCTGCTGCTCTCCTAACCTTTTTTGATATTATGGGATCCTCACTTATTTGTAATGAAACACTATGAATAAATCAATGTATGTTAATACATGATGTCTTCAATTTTTTATTAAGGTCTCCACCAGAATCTAATTCCCAGCCTTTCTGAAAGAGCCTTTGAAAATCTTTAAGTTACTTGGTTTATGACAGGAGGAAAATGTTGCATTTTGAGGAAAAATAAATATCCTCCCTTCAAAAAGGGAGGCTTTAATAATAACAGGATAAATAAGAGACCAAGACTGATGTTACTGACACCAGAGAAGGGTGAGAGGATGTGAATCCTGTTATTTGGACAGAGAAGAACATTTAGACAGAGCTGACATCCAAGATAAGGCAGCGTAACAGAGAAAGGGCATAAATTACACCAGCAACAAGAAAGTACAGAAGCAGAACTCTTAAAGAAATTATAATTAGACAGTTTGCAGGTGATTTCATTAAAAACCAGCTAATTTTTCCAGGAATTACAATCTGGGTTTAAATTTTTATTACATGCCAGACACCTGAGAAAGAGAGACCTTGGAGCACAATGGTTCTTAAAATAAACAAAAAATTAAAAACAAGAGGAAAATCTCAACACCTACTGTTTTTCCCTTAGGGAGTCAAGAACCGACATGTCATGGGACAGTATTCTGAGAGCTCTTATTGCATGAAGGCAAGGGAATTTGTAAGACCATTGGAATTAAATTGGGAAACAAATACTTAAATCAAGAGCCATGACCCTGTCCATGCCATAGCTAAACTCCAGAAAGAAAAATGCATTTAATTTAATGTAATGTAGGAATGAGCCAATGAAATCTTGTATGCTCTGATGGCACATCCAGAGCTAGAATAATAGAAATTCTATAAAACTACATATGGGAATCAGCAAAAGAGGAATTGGGGGAGAAGAGAAGGAACTTCCTACACCTGGGGCACTGAAGAGCACATTCACAGGTTGCCCAGGTCAGGCAGTGGCCTATGCAAAAATCAGTGGTATTTATTTTCAAGCACATTATACTGAAGGTTATAAACACAGTGAAAGATGCACTTGTCCTTGATCTCCATCCATATAAATAAATGTATTTTGCTACCTTCAGCAGTTCTAAAATCATTACAGAAACAGTTATTTTTCCTTATTAAAAAACCCTTATCCCCTTAAGGCAAAAGGAGCTACAAAAGCTTTCTAAAAGAAAAAAAAGTAAAGAAAAAAACCCCAAACAATGCAGTGATTTAAAAACAAACAAACCAACCCAGTCTTTATTTTTCTGTTGACTGTAGCAGAGAATGAGTACAAGGGACCTTAAAACAACCTGGGTCAACTGACAAGTAGCAGAGAAGGAGGCAAGAGCACTTGAGACAATGTCCCCAATTTGATATTGTAGTGTGGGTCAATTTTCAGAGCAACTGCTCACTCAAATCAGACTTCAGGATTTCCCAGGGCTCTTTTCAGGATATATCAACTCCAGCAGAGAGATTTGTGGCACAGCCAAATGCAAGTTTACCTTTTCTGCAGCAGAGTCTCTCCCAGTAGACACAGATCTAGTTAAACCAGGTGGTGTGGGGACATTCAGAGCCACCCTTCTCCCCAAAATTGAACATTTGACTTGAACACATTAACAGTACCTGGATGCAGCACAGAGAATAGAAGCATAGAGCAAAGCTTTGCATGTGCCCAGGGTCACCTGTAGCTATGATATTTTCTGAAAAATCTCTTTGCCAGGATTTTTCTCCTGAGAAGCTGAGAGGCCTCAGGAACAAAATGTAAATAATAACTATCTGCTGCTGTGGAATGCAACAGGTGCATCTGGGATTGGTCCATGTTGGTTGTTTCTAGTTAATGGCCAATCACAGTCAGCTGTCTCAGACTCTCTGAGAGTCAGGAACTTTTGTTATCATTCTATTCTTTTTCCTTTACTTGCAAGCCTTCTGATGAAATTCTTTCTTCTATTCTATTAGTATAGTTCTACCATATCATTTTAATATAGTATATATCATAAAATAATAAACCAACTTTCTGAAGCAAAGTCAGGTCCTCATCTCTTCCCTCTTCCTGGGACCCCTGTAAACACCACCACAGTCACCCAGTCCAGCAGCAGAAATATTTAGGGGCTGATCAATGCAAATGGTGCAGAAACAGCAACCAAATCCTGCTCTCATCAGGGTTGAGCTCTTCTCTGCTTCCCTCCAGGAGGGCTTTGAGTGACTGGAGTGGGCAGGAAAGAGCACAGAGCCCCTGCCAAGACAGCTCCTGGGCTAAAGGGCACACAGACCCCACAAGGAGGGCCCTTGGGCTAAAGGTAACCGTTCCAGATTGCAGTGCAAGATGTTTTCCATTACCATCTGTATGGCTGATTAGCTTTTGTCAAGTGGGCAGTTTGCCTGATCTCTCTTTGAGTGACCACAATCACTCCTCCCTCGGGAGGAGACGTCTGCTGATAACAGCTATTGAATGTCCCTGCATGGCTGATAAGAACTACAGCATCCCATTGGGAGTTGTGAGCCCAGAGGGAGGAGCCAAGCATTCCTACCCAGATACAATCTGGAGATTCTGGAACAGAATGGCTTCTCCATGGGATTTCTCAGAGGAACAGCAGCTGCCTCTTCTCCCACTGGATCTTCAGAGGAAGAGGCTGCACCTTTCTACAGGATCCCTGCTCCAACAGAACCACCCCTGACACTGCAGGAGGGCTGAGCCACAATTCCAATGGGACTGCTGCCAACACCCTGACCCACAGGGTGTCAGGCTGGGTTCTGACTCTGGCAGTGTAGTTTTAATTAAAAGCATTGTTTATTTTATCTTTTTATTTTCTTCCCTAGTAAAGAACTGTTATTTCCCGCTCCCATATTTTTTGTTGCCCGAGAGCACCTTAATTTAAAATTTATAGCAATTCAGAGGGAGGGGGTTAATTTTCTCCATTTCAGGGGAGGCTCCTGCCTTCCTTAGCAGACACCTGTCT